TTCGTGGATAATGGGTACGAGGAAACGAATAGAATGTGAGAAGTGCTGGGATACACACAGTAGACGTGAAGACGTGTCATATAAAATGAAATAAAATAAAAAAAATAACGTAGTCTTTAATAATTTCGGTTTCTCATCACAAACCTTCCAAAGCCACTAATTCAGCTGCTTTTACTTTTTGCGATAAATCAAAGTTGTACAGTGAGTTTCCAGTTTTCCAATGAATTTTCAAAAAAAAAGAAGCAGAGCTTTTTTAAAGAAACAACTGAAGCAGATAGGCTGCCTTAATGGTAATGCTGGAGATTTCGATGTGCCGACTGTTGAAACGGTGGTTAGTTGGTTTCCGTTCTCATACGGGAAACTTTCAAGGCTTTTGTTTTTTTAACATGCACTCAGAACGGTTTTACGAATTGCTCCATCGGCGGGAAATTAATGTCGTTTTCAGAGTTAGTGCTGTGAAATGGTGTGGCGTTTTTGGAATGGTTGTGGAGTAAGTCTAATGCCATGGTTATGCAAAACACTATAGTTCGTGACGTTCCCAGAACCTATGCATTCTTTTTAAACTTAAACTTTACTCTTCTGGCCCAGTTTAACAGCTCAGAGTTGTATCGCTTTTTCTTCATTAAAGACGAATTTCATCACTACTTCAGAGAGGACACGTGGCGCACAGATACTTAAGCATCGCGCTAGATTTTATCGTAAACGTGTATGACTGTCTTCATTCGCTTTTTAGCTCCAGGGATAATGGTTGGCTATCAATGAATCGACAGTGGAAAAACCAGTGTCAATGGTCTGAACCGAACAAAAGTGACCACATAATGACAAAAGAAGTTATTTTAAAGTGATGCATTTTGTATTTATAAAACATTATTTCTTAACTTTGGACCTTACACGTTATCAACCACCCTCCGAAAAAATATTTTTTAATTTTTCATCGTATTCAAATTTTCGAAACAAATTTTAAGAAATCAAAGTATTTTTTAATTTGCATCATTGTGGTTGTTTAACACGCAATACTCTGCTACGAAAATTATAATAAGCAGTAAATAAAAAGTTAACATTGTGATTTCTACTACAGCCTCAGCTTAACTAGGTTCGTTGCAGACTCGGGCCCCCCAGATCAATACCGTTGATGGGTGATTGCTGACGGAGCTGATCGATAGAACTAGCTGAAAGAGAGGCAAAACGAAGGATTCGCATGGTGTGGTGGTGAACGCGTTAGCCCCCGGAAAGGGTAATAACGCGTTCCCTCCCAACCGTAGATACCTGCGGTCCGAAGTTTTGCAAATATCTCAGCATCATTGTGGTTTTTTTAATTAGTAATTTTAAATCATCAATGGGAACGGAAACGGGAACGCTTCAGCCCATCTATCTCTGGACTCCAGGGAGAATTATTCGACCAGCATTCTACAACATTCGAGATAGAATGGAAATCTTCAAGCAGCAACCGAAGCCACACGTAAAAGTTGGAACATCTTCGTTGACAGTGGATCGAAATGGGAATTACTGGGATCCGCACAGGAGACATGAGCACGTATCATATAAAGTAAAAAAAAGTAAGAAACAAAACATAAACTGTACAATCCGTGGCGGACTTTGAAATTCGTTAACTCTTAAGAGCTCTTCAGTTATTAACCAAGTTAACGAAAAAAGACCTTTCATTTCGAAAATAGTCATTCAGCATATACTACACCACAGTGAATAATTATACAAAACAGCAAAAGTGTTTATAAATCTGTTTTTAAATTGGCAGAATATTGTTATTCATAGTCAAAATGTAAAGGAATTGAACGCGGATATGTTATAAAATAGGATGGCTAAGCAAGGCAACGTCGGTGTTCCGGTGTAGAGTTGTAATTCTTAAAAAGGTCAAACTAGACTGGATTCTAAAGAAAAGGAAGTATGCTTTGAACAATAATCAGATTTAAACTTTAGAGCATATTGTGCTTCTCTCTGGTGTTGAATTACTCTTTACTTTAAATTTATTCACTTACTTGGACACTTGACGACCTGTTTTGGCGAGTAGAACGTATCTCAAGTCATATTCCATTCATTTATTTCTCATACAATCGACATCCAGGGCAGTATACTGAACCAAGTATGATGTCCAAGAGTCTTATGCCATGACCTGTAAAACAATTACACTTGAATGCCGAGCTGATTCATTTTAGTTGCGAACATGTCGGTCTTCGTGTAGGCGGTCGTTGCAAGGAGCGCTTACATTCTTGCGGATTCCAATCTACAGATATTTTTCCTTCTATTTGTCCTTCTTATTATATGACCACTTATGCTTCACCGTTAATGTGTAATTTCCTTGATCTCGAAAATGGGACAGACTTCGGAGATTTGAGAGTTGTATTTCGGTCAGATGTTGTGAGTGCAAGTTATAATTCAGAACAAGTTACTCTAGCACTCTGTGAATGGGGAGCAGAGTTCTCGATGCCGTTGAACCATCAGCTCACGCCACTGTTGCATAAAAAAGCACTAAAATCGTTAAGACGAATAGGTGAGCACGGATTTTTGAGTCCGTTAGTTTTTTGTGGCTTCATTGAGATGTCAGAAAGCCACTCATGCTGCCCACCCTTTTCTTTCCAATTTTTATTCTATGTTTCTGTCCAAGTCCAGTGAACCCTCAAGGTAGAAGCACAAGGTGGTCTCCATGATCGGAGAGCTATCCATTCCGCTCATATTCACATCGTGGGTTCCTCATGCACTGGACCTTCTTCTGATTAATGCGTAGCAGCCTATGTAGATGTCGGTTATAAGTAGGAAAACGAAATGAACGGAAGGAGCACCAATACGTCCATTTGCTAATATGGGTCATCTAAACATCTCAGCAGATTGTAATGTTCTGCCCACCATATAACACGCAAAATGATAACCTAAATTTTAGTGGACTGAATAAACGTTACCGAAAAGGACAAGGGCAACACTTCTTTACAAAGCAGAAGGCATAACATTTGTTGACCACAAAAGAAACCAAACAACATACAAAATGAATAACAAAATAGGATAACAATCAACTCATAAGCGATGTAGTGCAAGCAGAGAACTACCATTTTGGAGAAATTTAATCTGTACGAAAATAAACAGGCTTAAATGGAATGGTTACGAAATAGGCAGTAGGGCTATTATAATTCGTTTCACTAGTAAACGGGTAAACCCGGATAACTAATTTGTGCACAGATAACAATACAAGAAAAGCGTGAATTAGATCATTCTAGCCATTTACCTCTTAAAGACATTTTTCAAATGAGTGATACCATTCCATAGAAATGGTGAAGCAATAATGATCCATAATAATCTTAGAAAGAATGTAGGAAAATGAGAGAAATGTTACGTCGTGAGCCTCTCAGGAAAAGAGAGAATCATGGATGTCTGCATAGCAATCAACCTCAAAAAAAGATACATAAACTGCTAGTCTAAGAAAACCAACGCAACTACATTTTATTAAACCGACTTCCACTTAACCTCGGAGTGAATAATCACTACATTTGTTCAGACTGCTCAGGTATTTCAGAAAGCTTTATTTGGATGCTCAAGAATGAAAGCAAGCTCTAGTTTGTTTTCCCCCATAAATTTTATATGCCCTCACTGTCTGCTTAAGCATTCAAAGCATTTGTTAATCTATCTTCAGGTGAAATACACGATGAAGCAGTTGTCTATACAAAAAGTAGAGTAATGGTCGATGATCTTCACAATGTATGGAGTTTAAATCTAGATTTTCTGCGCCTATTAATGGGAGATTGTGGATAAAATTGCTCGTTACGCTGGCTATATTTATTGCCTGCTTTGGCACGGTTTGCTGTAATTCTAGAGAATTTTTACTATTCTTCATAACTCCCAATGGGAAAGTCGTGGAAAACGCACTGGCGCAATAACGTGAAATCGGGCCTGTCACATGCTACAACTTTTTGCAGCGGTATCCGATTGAGAGCTACACGTTGTCTTACTGCAGCACTTTTAATTTCTGCATCTCTTGTTGGGTATCTTTGCTCAGCTATGTTAATTTTCTAACAAGAATAAAACTGTTTTTGCCACAGACAGTAGGAATCGGAGCGTTCGTTTTGGTTAACGTACAGTATTTCCACGCTACTGAAATATCTGCCATAATAAAGCAGATAATTTGATCCACTCTGTTTTCTCTTTCAGCCATGACATTGCGATATTGAAATCAAACGTAGTTTACCGTCCCTAAAAATATAGGTCTGTGTTTCTTTTCTTCTATGGAGTACGAATAAAAGTATTCTTTAATTATGCCGCTCTATATTTCATACCAACCGCTAAGATTTTAGAAAAATAGTTATTTGGTTTCGTAAGGTCAGTGTCCTTTTTACATTTGAGCTTGTGTATCAAGTGCTCGCTTTTAAGAACTCTTTAGATGGATTTACGTGCATGAATGCTGTTGAAACCTGTCCACAGGTTTCAAAACTGTGCACTGCTTTCGACCATGTTAACTTATTTAGGATCACGCTCACTTCCTACTTTCTTTTCCGTATAATTGGATGCCACAGAACGACCTACTAAAAATTGAGGTTTTAACACTTCCTTACTTGACGAGACTCGTTTGGGCAAAAATATGATTCTTGTGGCGTCGATCACAATGCAAATAAAACAGTGAAAAAAACGATGGACCTGTAGTAAACTGTAACCTACTTCTCAGTGCTCTTCCTTACAAAAGATGCTCATTTCGGGCAACGTCTCCTTCATTTACTAACAGATAGTTCAATTTCACTGTTACTAGTAATCACCTTAGTCTGAAACCAGCAAATGAATCGGATATGAAGCAGCTGCAAATCAATACTGCCTGAACATACAATTCATGCCTCGTTCAATGCTTTCCAAATACGGCGTCGCTCGGCCAACTGGCGGCACACCACTGGCGCTTCGCCTTGTCACCTTAACAAGTGTATTTTCGCCATTCACTCTATGAAATGTTTCAATTACTGTCGGTAAAACTTTTCAGATCTTGTTCATTTTGTCGAGCTTCTCATTCAGGAATGTCAGCAACGGTGATTAGTCACCCACCTTTCGATCAAAATGATCGCAAATACACGTGCCTATGCTATCAACTGCATATTCGCGTAAGTTTGAGTATATTAGAAAAACGGATTTAATCGTAGGATTGTTTGTCTCTAATTGTTGTGTGATAAATGATTCCATATTTGAAACCTGCACTTCAGACCGGATCCCGAGTTGTAGCCGTGCTCCTAAACGTATTCACTGCTGTCAACATACTCTTCAGCTTCACAAGAACATCGACAGTAGCAATGTATACACTAATGACGTGAATATTTTTTCCGATACTTTCTTCTAAAAGTTGTTTCTATCAAAACCTCTATGACCTTCCTCTGTCTTTTTCCTTCAGTATTTTTATAGACTTGCTATGCTCTCCGTCTCTGCAATGATTTTACGGGTCCACGTTTATTTAAGGACTTCCAAATGCTTCTTATTAGGAATGGAATTATGGTTTTTGATGTCAGAAGGTTAACGTATGGGCAAGGTCAGCTGATGGAAGCTGAAAAGAATAAGTACAAAAACACAAATATTAGCACGAAATGATAATATATGGGCATCAAAAATTGACGTCTTGTAAGAGCAATAAATGGTTACCCATTATTTTTCTTTTCCAAGACCAATTTAAAACGAAGGTGAGTGTTTGTCATTGAACTCTGCACATCATTAGAACAAGGGCGTTAGCAGATGTCTTCACGAAATCTCTAGCTCAATTGTCCCAGTAGGTAACGCGAGTTTCGTCATATTTGGCTTATTCCTATTGCTCTTCATAATGAATTCTAACTGGAAGTTATTTATCTATGAATTTATGCAGTTAGACGAAGGTTCATGCGAAAAATGTTATAGCCATTTTTGGCCACATTGTTCCCACTTTTCATCAAATATGTGCTTACATCAACATCCATCCATAACTCCATTTCCTGTTCCTATTTATTTAGAATAACAGTAAAATCTTGAGCTCAAATCTAATCCACTAAATGAAAAAGAATTCTCTAAAGAATGTTGTTAACTACTGACAACATCAGTTCAACTTTAGATGAACACATCTCAGTTCATGAATAGCACCAACCAAATGGTCTGGGAATTACCGGGGAAATCTACACTGCTTTGCCAATAAGATCAGTTTAGTTATTTCATCATGATGATATACTAAGCTTCTAGTTCCCACATAAAGGTCTTTTACCTTTCCTTCGTCGAGGATCATTAGCCATTCGATAATTAATAATTCGTTCATTATAACACGATGGTATTGCAGATGCTTCTTCCACAAAGTTACCAAATTTATAAGTCTCTAATACTCTGGTTATCGAACAGTTATTCGGCATTTGTTAAGAACCTTACATAACGTTCACATTTATTAGTGTTTAATTGCATAGGTAAACTTCACTTATTGCGCCGAGTCCAGCTCCACTTTCATTCGGTTGTCTTGCACTCATCGAACGTGGAAATCTTTGCACTTGCATAGGGGTTCAGCTTCTCTATGAGAATTTTGTCTTCTTCATTAATGTCGCTAAATACTGCTTCAGCCGTAATTTCGAGGCCCAACTTCCTATTAACCTCGGCATTGTTGAACAAGTAGTTTTTCCTGAACTGACTCCAAGTTGCCAATACTAGGATATTTGGATGACCCATCGGTTGTGCGGACCCCAGCATAATTTCCATTTTTTGGAGTTTTGCTGGTTCAACCAAGGTGGTTCCATGAAGTCCCGATGTCAGCTTAGCCAAGGTCTGCCCAAGTCGTCACCACTAAGTCGTTGCCCTTGCGGACCAAAGGGAAATTTGCCAACATGCAACAAGTTTGATACTAGGACGATGGCGCATTTTGGTATTGGTTTACTCTTAGCTGAGCTTCATGATAGAAACGTCGGACTCTTTCTCAGCTTGGGAGACCCTGCTGGAGGATGAATCCCCTTGCTATACGTCGCAGCCCGACATCCAGGAACAGCTCCCAGCCACGATGAAGAACTAAGCCGTTGGGAGAACGTTATGAGTAAGAAAATTTATTCTATGTTGGCTGACGTCCTAGCGGTTTCACCTTCTACAGAGCCTGCGAAAGTCAAGTTAACATGCAACATGCTCAGTCCTACAAAAATAAAGCTTCCATAACCTAAGCAGAAAAGAAAACTCAACACATAAATCGAAAGTATTTTGCTGGTACATGATACATCTTGTAACAGTTCCCAGGATCGACTTTCTATTAACCTCGGCATTGGAATATGAATGCGTCGTCTTCTTGTTCAGCAATCACGAGGTTGTCATCAACAACAAGAAAATGACGCAGACAACAGAAGCTTAACACCTGAAATTCAGAACATAAAAATTAATACTCAATGCCTAAGGTCTTTGCGTTTGAAAGTCTTTACCAGCACATAAAAAATTAATGAGTAAAGACGAGCGCATCAAATTTATGTCTTTGAAAATGTTTGGCTTAGTTTGTTTGCGTGTTAATTTAGGTTTTTCTTTCCAGAACGGCGGAAGTGCCAGTCACTATTGAATAAATGTTGTTAGTGGCTGATCTTCTTCCATTTGGAGTTTTCGAAACGCACTAGTATGATCCCCGGTCTTTACCAAGAGCAGTCCTACGCCTTTGCGAATAGAATGGTGCTTTTTATAGAGTAGTTTAATGCTAAATTACCGAATCCGGTGAGACGAAAGGCTTGAGTTCCTTCACTGGTTGAGCTAATGTCTTCGAGTGTATTGACATCTCTAAGCCACGTCAAGCGTTAATATTAAATGTCGTAATTCCAGCTCAGCTTTTGCTGTTGTAGTCTTTGGTAGTCTACTATATGGAGTTTATAAGGAGAAACGACTGTACCTCATACCGTATCTTATATTCCAGGTTTGTTGTTTACATTTGTTCTAATTTACGAGGTATCTTCCGTGCCAATATTTAGATAATCTCGATTGGAATTACCACTGTAGTTCTTGTGGCATTTATTATTGCAATAGCATTGAATTCCAAAGTGGTATTTGATCTTGCGGGAGACCTCGGCAACATCGACATCCACCTTCCTCAAAAACAGTTGGACGCTGGTAAGCTAATATTTCTACACGTGTTTGTAAGTAAAGTTTAAAAAACGGTGTTCCAGCTCTAGCAACTTTCACTGTTCTGTTTATCTTAGCTTTGTGCATAAGTGGACTTCTTCAGGCCTACTTTTTTGAGGTGAGTTAAGACCATGAATTAAAACCTAAACTCATGGACTATTGCTTAGGTGATCTACTCATTCTATGGATTTCTCCGCGATCGTGAATGTTCATTCAATTTCAATTTTGAAGCTACACCCACTACTCAAATACCAGATACAGCGTTTGGCTTAGGATGTGCTGTTCCGCCACCTTATTAAAACCAGTACTAGTGTTTTCACTAATGTTTTCTTTACGGTTTCATTCATAAATTTCTCACTGAACCTTAAATTCTCCTTGGTCTCCTGGATATTTTACGTCACAAACTAATTTTTCATTTCGTGAGTAATGGGTAGATCCAACTTTACGGATTCAATAATATGCCTCAGATTCTCGTTATAAGCAAAATTTAGGTCAGACTGAAGAATGATATTAAGGCGAAGCCCAGCCTATCATAAGAAAAAGAATTTTCAAGACAAACCAAGACTATTCATCACCTTTTCACAGTGGAAATGATTTAATAGGTTGACCGATTAAAATGACAATCCACAACATGTGGTGCAGGAAGCACGAAAGTTGAAGATGTCGTTAAATGTACGCGTAGTCACTGGTTCGACGTCGCCGAGGAACACCATTGCTTCTATCCCTCTGAATTGGACAAATTAGCAGCACAATTATACCAGAAAGCGTGCTCCTATCAACAAAGATATGCTAGTTCTTCTGCGATGAAGGCCTGAGAACCGTCTAACACGGCTATTCTAGTACTCCAAGTAAGATCAACTTAACCATCATTTAATGGCATTGATGAAGAAGACGAAATCCTTAGGTACCAATACAACCCATACGTAAATCCTTGATAGCTGTAGTGCCATCTTACCGAAAACCACCTGCGAGTTACCGACATGACGTTACTAACAAACACAGCCTTCCTGAATATATATTAGACCTTATAATGATTAAACTGCATTGCACTATTAACACGTTGGGTAGCTGCTATTCCATGCAATACAATTACCAATACTAATTAAAACAACGAAACACCAACACCTGTCCCACGTTGTCGGCTAAAATCGAGACGCTGTCAATGGAGTGCTTGTCTCCACTCCACAAGGGCCATTTCGTCACACATTACATTCCAAAAGATCGGTTCCTGTCAATTACTACACCTTACTACGCTTAATTCTGGTGTATCTGCATGTATGTCCACTAAGGCGTTTTGAATTTCAGCCAAAAATTGTACGCTGTTGATTATTTAACCAAATGACTGAGCATAGCTGAGAGGTTGACACAAGCTTTAAATTTATCACGGTCGATCAATGTCTTAGTATTTTAAAAAAAGAAAGGGTAGCCTTAAATATAGTTACACTTCCATAGCATTAGTAAGCATAATTGGGTTTTACTCGTAAATTAGCAATTGCATTTAGCTTCTTAAATCAATCAAGAGTGAATAGTCGACTATTTTGATATTTATACTCCGCCTACCACACTAGCTCCAATGACTCTTCCGGTCAATTAGTCGCACGAACCGCTGTGAATACTTATCGCAAGATGGCAAACTTCCATTCAATCCGGAATGGTTACCGATTGTGTATAGTCGGAACCTCATAATGCTCTAGTAAGGCGCCCTGAAATCTCCAGAGCAAAAATTACTAAACCAGATTCAGTACTAGCCTGCAGATTGTTCGGTCCTGTCTTCGATTACATGCATGCAGTGAAGCAAGTAAGTCACGCCTTGCATGGTATATCAATGGAACTGTATAGAATGAACATGTTCACGGCATCTTCTGCATCACCTGTCGTCCGGTGGTCAACAAGCGACTCGAGCAGGAGCCAGTAAATCATTCGTTTTTTTCTGGTGCGTGCAAGAGTACCCCAGCGCGTTTTACCCACTCTAAGGAATCGTTAAGCATCATATCCTTCTTTCAAAGTTTTTGAAGAACTCTAACCATCGAGTTGGGTTTCTGACGCCTATGTTAAACAAAAAGGTTTTGTAGGGTTGAAAAGGTAGGCATGGACTTGGGTATTCGTTGTTGTTTCACTACATCCTCGAGGCGCTTGAAAGCTACTTAAGCCGCTCGTTTCCTCCTGCTCAACTCGGGAGCTAAGTCGTTTATTATGCTGAATTTTCGACTTAAACAAATGTACCTGCGGCACTCCGAAATATTGATGCCGTTGAGCATGAATGGGGCATATGTAAACAATCCGTCCCTCATTCTTTTGTTAGATTTACTCGGAGAATAATCTTTATACGGGTCACGGAGAATCATCACACACTGAGTAGAAACCCCAGGTTGCCCAGGGCTTCGATGACTGCCTCTATCTCAACTTCATTAAATAGATGAAAGTGAGAAAGCGCAGTCTCTTGCACTCTCGCGATACTTCAATGAATCTTGTTATTGGGTGGATGTGGCCCATCGTAGTGAAGCCCATCTGAAACCCTGTTTGATTACATAGCTATCTTTCGTCAAGTTCTCTGCTAATCCTGTTTATGAAGACTTGAATGAGAAGTTTGTAGACGACAAGCAGCAAGCAGACTGCGCGATAGTTGCCGAAATCGTGAAAGTCACCTTTCTTGAACAATGGCAAGATCTTGTTGGGCTTCCACTAAGTAGGGACCTTGCATTTAGACAGCTAACTTGTGAACAGCCGAGCCAGTGTGTTTACTGATGGGAGGTTCTTCAGGTGTTCAGATCCAATCCAGACCTGCCCTGTTGTTGTCCGATTCTTCACCGACGAAATGGCATGTCGGATTTCGGAAGGGAGAATCGGTGGTACAACATAACCATCCTTCTTTATTTCATATGACGAGAGGTGGACGTAGCCTATCGAAGAGATCTGAGTAGTATTCGTGAATGATTTTCTCCATTACCTTTCTGGACACTGTAACTGTTCCGTTTGGTCGTCGGAGTGCAACCATCTTGGTCTTAACTGGCGAAGCTTCGTTGGGCTTTGCCAATGCTTTTCCCTGCCTCTGGATCCTCGACCATTACTGCTGCTCTTCTTTCTTTAAAATCTTCTTTTATCGCCCGTCTGCATTGTTTCGCATGTTCGGACATGAGTTGGTGCTTGCATGCAGCTCGTGACATTCCACGCTGGCGAATCAGCTTAAGTGTTTCTGGAGACAGACGTCTCTTTGTGACTTTCGAACCATCAACTTCCACAACACTAACGTGAAGATGTTGAATGAACCGGCCGTATTCTTCGTTGATATAATCAAGAGCGCTATCTTCTCAAAAGCCAAATAATGAACTAAATAAGTCCTTTCGATTTGTGTCTTTCGAACTTCATTTTTTGAATTTAGCGGTTTTTTCGCCTTACCGTAAGAAATGAAATCTTACACGAAAGAGACGATGGTCTGATCCCGTGCGGAATTTTAGGACAATAGCGAGATCGGTTAGGCAAAACCTTCTATATACTATAATGTGGTCTTAAAAACTCGAAAGACCGACTTTCTATGAACCTCGGCATAAATAGTTGATATATTTATTTATGTGATCTTATAAACTGATCTTCTTAAGCTGACGCGAGGTTGGTACAGATCTTCGTTGTCGTTGTCGTAGTCGTTGTTTTTGATGTTATTGATCGATGGCTGACGTTTCGGCGACTTCGCCTTCCTCAGAGCCTGGACGTACTTTATGTTTGAATACTTTTTATTATTCGGTGGAAAAGAAGGTTAAAGTATTAATGAAGATCAAACTTTCAAATAGACGCCATATTGAACAGAAAGACCACTCACCGTGATGTTACGTGCGGGACTGGCCCACACGTAGTTCACGTGAAATTTATCCAAAACGCCTCAAGAGTTTTGCGCGTTGATGTTTTTGATTCCTGCGCTAGGATCCGCACATTCACTTCAAAATCATCGCCGTTGTGCTTTTGTGCCCTATGCGTACCTAGAGGGGTGTTTAAACGGATTTTAGCTTTCCCATCAAGATGTTCTTTTATGCGGACACAAAGTGGTCTACCCGTTTCCACGATATATTCCTCGCCGCATGCATTACATGAGATGAAGTATATTATACCTAAACTCATGCAATCCCCGTCTCTCCCGTTAGGACAGATCATACAGTTTTATGAGTTGCACAAACGATCATAGAGACGGTTTCGAACTAACTGGCGGCGTAGGGTATTGGGTGGGGTGTCAACAATCGTTACATAATTTTCAAGACCACTTTTTCTTAAGCACTTTTTAATGGCGTGACTTACTTCATTTGATATGAAAGGCAGCTTAAAGGGAATCTTATTTTCGTCTGAAATATTATTTTGGGGAACTACCCAGTGTTTTCCTCTAAACCGAGTGGCTTCTACTTCGTAGCCATTGGAAATGGCAATTTTTCGTGCCAGGTTTCGCGATTCCTTCCTTTCCTCTTCTCCTGTGCACACATTTTTAGCCGTACGATACATATTTTTGATAAGTGCTTTTTCCATGTGTGAAGGATGAGAGGAGAGGCAGTGGACTAGAATGTTTTTACTACTTGGCTTGCGATACCATTTTGTTAAATAGCCACTTACTGAGAGCTTTATTTGGATGTTTAAGAATGGAAGCCAGTTCTCGGTAGGTTTTTCTCGTGTAAATTTTATATACTCTGACTGTCGGTTTAATAATTCAAAGCACTCATCCATATGTTCTTGTGTGGAACAGGGAGCTTCCACCTTAGACATGAAAGCGATGGCAAGGCTTGGTGCTAAACGCTGCCCCATCGCCAACCCTCTAATTTGTGCAAAATATTTTCCAGACCACCTGAAGATTGAACAACTAAGACACTGTTTTAAGAGGGTCATTAGTTGCGCAATCGACAAGGTATGTTCACTTTATACCAACGTGTCCAATGACTCCGCAATGCAAGCCATTCTCGAGTTGCTCGTAGAGCATGAAAAGAAAATAAAAATGCACGGCTTCTCGATTGCACAACTAATGACCCTCTTAAAACAGTGTCTTAGTTGTTTAATCTTTAGGTGGTCT